TTCGAGCGATGTATAAGAGGTCAGATTTCCTATTATTTAGGATGAATGCACCCGAGCACTGGTTAAGTGCACTAGGCCTTGACAAACTTAGCACACTAATTTAGTTCTGTAAACAATTTTGAATGAGAAGGCACATCTAAATTAGTTAATGGTATCTGTCAGGGTCTGCCGTTTCAAAAGATGCAACAACGATTGTGAGATCTTTAACTTTGGTATATGAATGTCAAAACGATGAAGTAGAGAAGATAATTGGGGAGCTAAGAATACTGGAGATTAAAAATAGTTTACGGCGTAAAATCGAAAGAGGTGAAGATCGCTGATCTATGTGTTAACGTTAATGCACATATCCGTCATAGTAAAGAGGGATGTGGTAGCATTGCGCAATTCAAGGAGGATAGACTAACAGCCATCACGGAGATCATCACAAGAAAGGTGACTGTTCAACACAGGTCGTACTTTCAAATGGACACATTCGCAGGATAAGCCAAGGTATTATATCATAGCGGTGCAGAGAAAAGAAGTTTACAGAACGGGTCTATCAAGAGAAAGGGAGAGATGATTGGCTGCTGCAGCACCATCGGCGGTACAGCTTATTTGGGACCAATACCACTCTAGATGACAACAAGAATTGCATTAATGATGAATCGTGTAGAACAGTTAAGTGTGAGGTGGCTTGCCCCATAAGAACGGTTGGTGGGAGTGGAGTTATAAGGCTTTGGGAATACCACGTACTGCATGTTGCCAAGAGGCGCGAGTGTGTGAAGATGTAAGTTGGAAGAGAAGACATCGAAGAAGGCGACAACAAATGATAGGTGACAGTAACAAATTATAACGAAATAAAAAATAGATTATATGAAAACAGGCCAAATTTAAAGCTTTGAGAACACACAAATATATTAACTTTGTTCAGTTCTGTTTCTAAATTGAAGTGGTGATACAGACTTGGGTTATATTTCGTTTATCCTGTAATGTGGTAGGGCCTAACGGACATTGTTCAAGCGGGATAGAGACCTAACTGTCTGTCGACTCTTGTGAATTGTTTCCTTGCTTCAAAGAAATTATTTGTGGAATATTCAGCATGTGTGAAATAGGAGTGTAAATTAGTCCGTGCGTACGAGGTGTGGGTGAGTGGGGAATGATTAAGGAAAGTAAATGTATTTGACTAAGAACATTAAACCAAAAATTCAAAATAACCTATTCAAATACTAATTGTACAATGTCTACAAAGATTATTTGATAATGACTTTAGAATGTTGATAGATTCAGAGGATATTTAGTCTTCAAAAACTACTAAAATTCGTTTGCCTTCCCAAACTATGATGTTTTGTGACATTCCCGGTCATTTACTGCCATAATGAACGATCTTCAAATGTATATAAATTTAGGTATTCCACATGCCTGAATAGATCCTTGCCGAAAGAATATATCAGGGAAGGTGAAACTTTTGTATAACAAAGAATGGAGAGAGAAATCATAAGAATAGTTGAAAGATTAAAAATCAGTTCATAAGAAATGATAATCAATATTAGCAGATAATCTCAGGTGGTTTGTTGCGAATTTCAGCGTAAGTTTAATAGGCTGATTGGCAATACATACAACACTATGGTACCGGATATTATGTGTCGATATTGACTATCGGACAAGTCAATTAGCCATAGTATAGAGTTAGAGTAATGGCGTTAAACTAGAATCACACCACGGATAGATAGGACGTCCAATGAATTGAAAAGTTTGTTACTAAACTAGAGGTCTGATAAGTGTATATATAAGTGAATCATTTCAAAATGGTGAGGATGTCGCTGATATATTCTTTTTCACGTACAAAATGTTCCGAAATGATCTTGCGCTCGGGATAACCTAGGATCCTTGTGAATATCGGTTTCCAAGACTTCTAGAGGTAAATCCGTACAAATGTTATTTGGTGGTGGTGATTATGTTTAAAGAAGGTTCTCGAAATAAAGGAAAACAACGTAAAGTGATGAGCATCAGGTCAAGTTATATAATCGTTGAAGACAGTAGTTTCGAATATTAACAATAGTGAAGAGTAAGTTTGCCCCGATCATTCATTTGCTTGAAAAATTCTACGAAAGTATCAACGATAACTAATTGTTAAGCCAACAGCTTTAATATATTTTTATAATATGTAGATGGTCATCGGAATAGAGATGAAAAACGTAAGTGTGTAAGATTGAGACGAGAGGTGCTTAAACGTGACAATATAGAAAATCTGATGTATCCTTGTACAATGATATGTCAAAAAGTATCTACGTTTCGAATCTTAACTGTTTGAAGTTGCGTACCAATTTCAGAGTTTACATGCTATTGAGATAATGACTAATATAACTTAACATTGCATGACATATTTGAGTGTAATCAATACGTATAGAGATAAAAAGGGTCAATACGAATACATCTTAAGGGAGGGGAATAGATATAAACTGAATGCATGTCCAATTTTTTCTCGGTATAAATAGTGATCTGTAGCGACATATATACACAAGAAGATTTAAATGCGATCAAATACCATATGAATGAAGTTTCATTACACAATATTTTATCAAATTTAATATCATAGCGAAATCGAATATGCGTCAAACATCCATTAGCAACACCAAATGACGCCGGCTTGTAGCGATTGATCAATTAAAAAATTGATTAGGTAGTCCCTGGGAATTAAATGGAAAAGTTTCTTGACTTTTTGTTGCAGGGCAAAACATTCTCTCCCGTCTTCATTTAGGACGTATAGGAATCTGAGAATCAATAAAGGGAAAGGCGAAATACATTTCTGATACTAATTTATGTCTTTGAAAATTGTCGTCGAATTGCACTCCAAGAACCACTTACATTCTCATTTCACTCTCTTAATATTTCATGTAAAATGTAAGGAGAATACTTTTATTGTAGTGAGTTTCAAAAATTAGAACTAAGAAACTATTCAGGGTCTTTAATCGAACTTATGACTTAATGCTGTGATAAATTGAATTGAACGCAAAAAAGCCTCATTCGACGATAGGTTTTAGAATACACCAATTATTCATACAGGAAGATGATTATTCAGCTGAAAAAGTTTTTAAATGAAATTATGCCCTGAGAATTAAATGAAATTACGAACTGAGAATTTTTGGTTCAATAAATATTGAGCTTTAATTCTCAGGTTTATAAAATGTGGGTTAACTACTTGTGTTATGTGCTGTTTTCAGCAGTGAAACTGAAACACAAAAGTAAGAAAATTAAAAAAAAATTAAATAATGATAGAAAATTGAAAATATTACTGTGCATTTCATTCTTTACAAAAACGTTTTCTAATTTTCGATATTTCCCGGAGTACCTCAGTATTAAGCAAGTCACCATTTAAAATCACTAAAAGAAAATTAGCCTCGTCATTATAGAATATTAGGCGTTATTAGGGTCTGTCAAGAAGAATAAAATATTTCTCCCCAGAAAAGGACGCCCTACGCAGTTTATTTCTTTGTTGTGAAGAAAAACATAGCTGAAATACTAGTGGTTCTGGCTTAAATGCATGCTTACAATAGCCACTAACAATATGATTGAGGTTCAACTGACCACCACATTTCAGTTATTTTTCTTTATTACACAATCGTTTATCAACTTCAAATAGAATCGCAACATTTTTCACGCTGTCAATTTGAGTCTCTGTCAAAATAGCTTAACAGATACAAAAAAAGGTCCAGCTACTGAATCAAAAATTTAAAAATAATCAGTTGTACACCAAGCTTAGAGGTAGATATAGTATTTAGAATAAATTAATGTTCTGGTTGTGTTGTAAATTTTTTACGATAAAATAATCAAAAAGACAATATATGAATATCTATTACTTTTATGTATAATATTAAAAATGTAATTAATTCTGTAATTGGATATAAATTATAAGCGACCTGATTTTGCCGAAACGAGCCGTATAATTAAATGTGGTTGTATCATCAATAATTCTGATTTTAATCGACACACTTAACGATAGATGTCAATAGATGTACCCGATTCGCCATTACCAAAACGTTGTACTAATGATGGGGGGGTACACCAGATTCGTTACGTGTTCGTGGGGAAGGGACATAATGGGATCTTTTTTAAGGGTGCGCGCGTCAAGCGTAATTGTTTCTTTAGTTTCCAAAACAATAAACTTTTTAGATAAAAATAATAATAGGGTTATTGATATAATGATTTATCGGACAAAAAATTCTTCGTTTTTGCAAAGTTGACCAGTTGGAATCGTGGACGAACATTGGGTAGCGGCTTTCTTTTTGCCCGCATTATTCACAGCTGTCATCCGATCGATTGCACAAGCGGAATCTAGGAATCCTGCGGGGATTTTTTCGCCGCCGCGCGCCAGGCGGGGGTCTGTCTGTCAGCAGGACGCGGCGCGGGCGACGAGGGCGGTGCGGGCGGGCGGGCGGGCGGGTGGCCGGACGAGACGGCGGGGCTGGGCGGCGCGGGCGACGCACGCGAACCCGTGACATACATCGCCGCACAGGCCGCTGCGCGGGCGGCCGAACGATTCAATCGGCAGGGCCACCTGTTCGTCACCTCGCGCCGGGGGCCCAGGCCGAGCCGGAGCTGCGTGCGCCTACGCTTTTCGTTTCCTCCTCCTCCTCCTCCTCCTCCCCCGCATCGGCTCCCCCGCCACCCTTCCGCCGCCGCCCCACTGCTCGCCGCCCACGCACCGCCCCCGCGGCGACTATCGAATTTCTCCGGCCCTCCTCCACGCTCCCTCTGGGGGCGGTGGCGCGGGAGGAAATCGCTGCTATGACTCGTACGTGATGCTCTTGCAGCGCCCTGGAGGAACAGGGGAACGTTCTGGTGACAGCGGAAAAAGTAAAAGAAAAAAATATAACCACAGGTCCTTTGTTTCCCCAGAGGTCGGTTCAGACGGGGGAAAACGACCCGTCGTCGCACACGCGACGTGAGTGCGGATACGTCACACTGATGTTTAACACAACACTATTGATTGAGCCCGCTGCACGACTCCAAAAAGCACTGACCTCGTCGGAAGTTTCCAACGGCGCGGGCTTCACTCACGGAACGATGTCTGCTGGCCACTCGGAGCGGAATCGGGCGCCCGGTTCAGAAAACGCTCACATTTGTCGCTTAGAACACCTCGCGGGGGTTTCTGCCGTCCATCGCGGCCTCCACAGCTGGATCACTGGGGCGAACTGGCAACGTTACAAATATGGCGGCGGGAAATGGCGCTAGAGTGCTCTGGCGGCGAACATCGAAAACCCATATTGATTCCCTGCGCGCGCGGCGGTCGACGACGGCGTCAGCGGCGGTGGGGGCGGCGGCGGCGGCGGCGGCGACGACGGTGGAGAGGCACCGGCACACCTGCCAGCGTCGACGGGAGATCCGGCCGCGGGGACATACACACATAGCGCGGCGGCCGCTAGCGGATCGCCCCGCCCCCTTCCCCGCCGCGGGAGGTGGGCTGTTTCGCGGAAGGGCAGCGGGACCGCGTGGGTCAAAGATGGCGGGGGCGCGGTCAGCGATTTGTGCGGCAGTGCGGCCGGTTATAAGTTTCCAAAAACACGCGGACGTGGCCGCGGCTTATCGATCCGCCTAAATTTAGCGTGAGCTCAACGGGCGCGCGGGAGACCCAACCGGAGGTTGCGCCGCTATTGTGCACGCGGGCTGGCGTGGGTTGGGCCTGGGGACCTGCTAGTGTGGACAGTAAAGTAGCTACTGCTGCCTTCGCTACCGCAGATGGAAGTCGCGTTTCACTTGCGCTTGGGTTTAATTTGTAGGAGAAATTCGAAATTACGATGGTTTGAACTTGAAAAGTGCTACTGTTGTCACCATTGACCACACTTTTAAGGGAATATATTTACTGTCTAATACAAACAGTTGCTATCGTTCTCGTCTGGGTTATTTGTTTTAAGCGCCGCACTAAAAGCTCTAGTTTAAGTTTAATAAGTCATTGGTTTGGCGTGAAAGAGGCATATTATTCGAGGAAGTGCTACCATTCTCAAGGAATTATACTTTCGTTTTAGTACGAAATATTTAGTTATTCACTTCGACCAACGCTAATTCCTTTCTTTCTTTCTTTCTTTCAAAATTTATAATGTAAAAAGGTTTACAGTAAAGTTTAAAATTGTACATGGACATGAAGAAATTTTCATGACTAGCGTATCCGTGCGAGAACTCACGCATGATAATCGCCACTCTTTCCTTATACATTTTTCTCTCCTTTGCATTAAGAATGAAAGTTGTTTTTGAAACATGTTTATTGGTTAAGAATGTATAAATGTAACTTCGCACTTACAGAATATCAAACAAAAAATAATGCAATTGACATTGGAAATACATTTTCAATAAATGTTTATTGAGCATTATAGAGATATGTTTCTCAAACAATTCAGACTTCCTTTAAACAACATTTGAAGTAATTATTCAGTCTTCCTTGACAGTTAACTTTTCGCTTTCCATGATAGTCTAAAAAATATTAGAAAAAGCATTTACGCTGAGAAAGCCAAGTAAAGTTTGCCGTGCGAAAATACAGGATCGAGCAAATACAACCCTTCTCTTTGCAATACTATTTAACTTTCAGGATTTGTTATGAGGAACAAAGAGGGTGTTGGAGCTTACTGGGATGGGGATTATTTTCCGGCCACCTCAAGAAAAGCAATTCCAAGCCAAAAGATAATAAAACTATTTTTTTCACCTTTGAGTAATAACTATTTGTTACCATTTCAACAATTCAGTTGGCTTAGATTTTACTCCGGTACATGGGACTGTTGCTCAAACTATGTTTACGTATTGAATATCTTAAGTTTAAAAAAAATAGTGTGTTATATACAATATGAGTTTACAACTGGGCATTGATATATAGACTTCCAGATACCACCAACATTTAAATCGTGCGTCTAGATTGTGATCGCTGGCAGATGTCGAGTGACTTGCGCTATTCTTTCTATAATTTTAAATTTGGTTCCTTTTTTAAATTCATTCACGTATTGTAGGATAGCGCGTTTTGATTTTTGTTGTTCATTTTCTTCAAACTATTTTGATTTAGTTAATTTAAAAGGTATGTTCTTTGTATTGTGCCATAGCACAAGTTTTCCCCTCCACGTATCCGTGCGAGAACTCTCGCGTGTTAAAAATCCTACACTCTCCCCTATCCTTCTATTACCATTCTAAAAGGGAAATCTGGTAAGGAAAAGTATTTATTTGTATAAGAATGTATGAAGGTAACTTCCATTGTACTAATAAAGTATCAAACAAAAATAAAAAAAACAATGCAATTGATGTGGGAAAGAAATGTTCTCTAAAGATTTATTCAGTATTATCGACAGAGTTTGTGTAACAATTCACAACACTTCCTTGAAAATATTTGAAGCAACTATTTAATATTATTTGACAGTTTTTCGCTTTTCGTGACAGTCACAAAAATATTAAAAACCTTTTTTACTCTTGAGAAAGCTACTTGACGGGACACGCTAACTTGAAAATGTCACCGAAACACTACTGATAACAAAATTCTGGTACAGGTAAAACAAACCAAACCTAACCAGACACGTCTTCATTCTTAACTGTACACCGATATTTCTCCACAGTTAGGTACCAGCACTTGAAGAACTCGGAAAAACCTTAAATGAATGTTTTCTCTACACTTCATCGGTATCAGGCAACTATTAATAGAACTTCTAGTTGTTGCTGAGAGAGCGAATCTTAAATTAATAATTATGCAAATAAATCTCGTCAGTCTACGCAAACCACGCTGTACATTTAAAGTGTTAATAGTATAAAATTGAGGAATTTAAGCCTTCTAAACGTGACGTCACAAAAATGGCAACCATCACCAAGGACAGAAATCTAGGTGGCATTGGTAGTATCCAAAGTGTAGAACCAGCAAAAATGTAATAGAATGTCCAAAAATATCTCATCCTGAAGATTATAATGTGATGAATGTTTCATTAATGCTTTGGGACTCAAAATTTTAGTTTTTAAAGCCCTAAAACGCTTCATTTAGGAGTTATTTAAACTACGTAGCTGTCTGAGTGCTGCGGGTTGCATTTGATAGGAATATTTAGAAGGGTTTTTTTTAAACAAATCCTTAATAGTTTTAAAGTCAAAGTGCAATTCGTCACGTCTTCGTGAAATTCTTTCTTTACAGGCCTCATTTATAAAGATCGGTAGGCGATGGATCAGGAAACGATGTATTGCCATCGAAGCTTAAAACTTTGCAATAGACATTTTGAACTCAATAGATATATTGATTATTAAAATATATTATTTTTACAAGATTGGGTTAAAGTGCCTATGTTCAAAGTTTTCCGAGATCGGTATTTCGAATTTTCTTATATTAACTTTGATGAATTTTTGAAATAGAAAGTACAATTATTTTCATCTTTTTTTTAGCTTCCTTAACCAATCTACTTACTGGTTTCTAATGCGTCCCAAAATTGAAATCTAACACCAACCGGCCATCTGAGTGAAGTCTATAGTTTTGTGAGACGTCAAGAAATTCTGAAGAATAAAAAAATGTTAATATTTTGTCTGAAAATGCAAATATTTCATAGTCTAATTTCACCTACTCACATTCTGCGCGAACTGTCTAAATTGTTATAACCATTGCATCTGTGCTTACGGAAAATCTACCGTCAAGTGTCAGGAAAACTCCAAGAAAGAGTGCACTTGCCATTACGAATTTGCTATACACACGTTGCGTAGTGAAGTAGCAACTATTTTTGTATTCTTGGTATATTAAGTAATGTTATACACTGTATCCATGTATACTGAGAGTGAAATACTGTGTTACTGCAATATTCCAAGTATTTTCTTAGTCATTTCTCAGTATAACGATTTTGGCTAAAATATTGAATTTTTGTAGTGTTATTCAACCGTATTTTTATATTCTTGAACAGCGTGAGCAAAGTGAATAGTGTGAACAAATTTTTAGAAAACCTTTTTGTATTCTTTTCTTTAGAATTTTGGCTCAGCCAGGCTTGTAGTTGAAAACTATTAACAGATTTTCAAATACGTTTAATCCACTGTCAAAGAGAAAGGAAATATTCGGTTGATTCATTGCACCCATTTAAATTTTGGGTTCGTACCTAGATGACAAACAAAATACACCTTTCCTTTTTTTGTCTTAAATGCTGAGTTCACCTCAAAATTCTATGCAATCTTTATTACAAACATTCGATCCGAGTAGTTCTGGCTGGTATTCTCACCGGGTATAAAGGCATCTCGTGTCTACAGAAAGGGCTGCATCCACCGGCAAGGACTTCGGGCTGTGGAGATAGGGTTCGTCATTTTGCTGATCTCAATCAACAGAATGTACTCGTAAAATGTGTCATTTTTTCGTTGTGCCTCTACAGAAAATCAACGTTTACTTCTTGTGAAGAAAAGCTATGTAATTCGTCACTCTAGATTATGCCGACTTGGTCGGCTGTCCTCTGATGTCTATAAAAAATCTGTGGTTCTTTGCTGAGGTGTTTTGCAGCAAAATGTCTACGAGATACAATATTCTGTGGAGGTTGGAGAAGGGATTGTATGGTGAAGAGAATCGCTCTACAAAAAATGTTGTATCGCTTTGCTCTAAGAACTAATGTACGATTTTTTGGACGTTTTCCAGCAGATTATCCGAGATAAGAAAATAAAAAATGCGATTGGCAAACGTTTATCTACCACATTTCGTTATTGCTATAGTACGTTAATAGAGGATGTTTACAATGTAATGTTCCAATTTGTACTAACGAGTACAATTTAATTTAATATTTTCATTAAAACTACTTTAATATTTTATTTTCCTGAATTGATTCTTCAAAGTAAATTCTGCACCAGGGGGGGGGGTGTCATAAAAGCCAACCTCGTTTATTGGCAAGCCGCCAAAACAGTGGCAACAGAACCGCAATTTTCAACCGGGGGAGTAAGTTTATCTGGGTATTCAGCATAACCCACAGACACTCCTGGTGAATTACGAGGGTCGATATTAGTGATTTTATTAAGCACGAACATACGGCCATAAATTTGAAGGAATTGCATTTATCTTAGTATAAGGGCTAAATTTACTACTATTTATAATAAGATCAAAATATAATTTCACAGAAAAGTGTGTGCGTGATCCTAATAATGTAGCTGAGTGATATAGTTAAAGTATAGTATGCAAATATGTTTTCTCGGACAACAGTTGTTGTAAGTTGTTTTTATA